AGAGAGAGAGAGACCTTATCGTTATCAGTGTCTTATCGCGGATGACATATAAAATATTTTTTATTTGGTGTTAGTTTATGTTAAAAAAATCACAGCACTGCGTGGGAGAAAAAAACAGTCGATTTAATTTTAAAATTGGAAATTTTTTAGCCGCAGTCATATCCTTTGGTTGCTCTAACACGAAAATGAAAGTGGCAACATGCATATAAAGTTATTACTAGTTCCGTCAATTATTTGTTGTTATTAAAATATCAATAATCTGGGAATTATTTCATGATTTACTTTATTGAATCGATTTTAGCTGTAAAGTTGCTCATATGCAATGAGTAAAAATGCACTGAGAAAAAAAGCAGTTGGGTCGACAAAATCAGCGATTACTTGCCTTCAAAGAAATATTGTGTATGTTGAACAAAAATTGTGCGTTAGTGCAACAATAAGTAGCGTTGTTATAGTTGCCGACCAAGTCGCAACCGTTGAACTCGTCGCAGCAACGATATACTTCGTTCAGTCGACTACACGTTTGCTCAAACAAATTTGGTTCGTTCAAGCACAGTCTCATCGACTCAACTACTCTTTTTTGTACGGACGCAAGATAAAACTGCCTTCTCTCGGCCCGAGTATAGGCGTGAGTCCTCAAATTAATATATTCAATTAATATTCATAAGATCGAGTAGTCGAAATGGACAGTATTAATGATTATAACTAACATTACAGAGCAGAATTTAATGAAAGGGGAAATGGTTTCCTTGACTAAAACTTGTAGTAATTATTTCTCTATACCCGATTATAGTTATAAATACTACTCTTCGTCAGTGCGTGCGTCTGACCGGATTCCCGAGAGTTCTCGAGAAGATCCGAAGATACCGCCGCAGTAAAGAGTCTAATTTCCATAAGCCGGACAGTAAAATGGCAAAAGACATCGTAAATCGCGGTGGGGGGATCGGAATTCGCCCTTTGCAATTTTGTTTTACAAGCGATCGAAGTATCGACGTTGTCCGCGTTGACGACGTCGGCCGAGCCACGAGATAATACAATATCCGTAGGGTCCTTGTGCGATCGCTCGCAGTGACAAACAAGTCGCAATATCCTGATAGGATTCAGCATTCGCGGGAAAAATTATAGCCGCTCCTCCTCGCGCTCTTTCTCCCCGGGGACCTTCGCGCGAGCTTCTGGCGTCTTGCGTTCGCGCTGATTCCAGTTCCTGAGGAACTCTCCCAGCCCCTCGATCTGACGTCAGTCTTTGGACACAGACTCTCGTCGAAAATGCAAATTAGAAGCGCTGTTTCTATCTCTCTCTTCTCTCGCGAACGGTGCGTTCTGCGTAGGATCCCGCGCGCGCGGCCAATTTGTTCGCTCTCCAGCAAGATAAACTTACAATCGCTCTGGGCAAGTAATTTCAATCGGCATAGTATGTGCGAATTTTCACAGCATCGACATTTTTTTGCAGGCTCGAAATTTTTCAACGGCGCCGAGTGATTAATTTCCGCCGAATTTTTTATTCGATATTTGGATACCCGTTCATTGAACTTTTAATTTGTTCGCGAGCACCGGCAATTTTGATATTCACTGTTTGCCAATGAAACGGCCAAAGTAACATCCAATTTTTTTTTCCATCGTATCTCTGCAACCATCGCGATCAAACATGATACGTAACACGCGACTATGCTGTGTTGCGGAACGCAACGTAAAACGGTGGGCGAGCGGCGAGAGCTCTCTTTCTCTTTTTCTCTCCCTCCCCTCGTTTCCCTTTCTCCGCTCGCCGGCCGCGAGTCCATCCACGACGAACTCGTTTATCGGGTCGGGTTCATTCCGGACGATCGAACGGTCATTGATCGCGCAATTAGTATTACCGGGCTTCCCCGCGGATCGGGAAAAGAGCTTAAAAACCGTCATCGTTAGCCGCGTCTTTCCGCGGCGTATGACACGGCGCGCTTTTATTATTTCTTCTCTTTTTCCCCCCGTCCTGTCGCGATATCAATCGGGCCAAGGGAGAATCATTAAAAAAAAACTAGATCCAGGGCGAAACGGAGCGTACGGGTCGTTTGACGAATCACGAGAGGCGGCTCTTGGATATACGCGAGCGCGTGGGTGGGAGACGCGCGCCGCGGGAGGGTGGCACGAGAGAGGGCCGGGGGGAATGATGTTTTTTTCCTCGGCGGCGCCTCTTTAATTTGCCCTCCAATTAACGGACGGGGTCCTATTTGAAAAATACCTGCCACGAGGGCTGGCAATTATACTTCTTCCTTTTTTTTGCGTCACGAGCGCGTTATTAGCGCTATCCGTCCAACCCCGCTCCCTCACCACCCGTCCCTCGCGCCTCTCTTTCTCTCCTCCCTCGCGACTTCGTCTCCCGTTTGCTCTTTCCACCACCTCCCGCACCAACACCACCATCACCGCCACCACTTCGCTCACCCATCTCCGCGCGCTCCCCCCCCCCATCCCCCCTACTCTCTATCTCTCTCGTATCCATTTTGTCTTAGTGCATGTGTGCGAGCGTGCGAGGATGGTCCGCGTGGGCGAGCGTATCCGCGCGATTGTATGCGTTTTACGTGTATTGCGAAGCACGCGGGTGAAGTGATGCGGCGGGCGGTGGTGAAGAGGGAGAAGAGAGAGAGAGAGAGAGAGAGAGAGAGAGAGAGAGAGA